AGCATGCAGGGGACTCTTAGAAATTCTTTTGACAGAGCCAGACAGTTCATGCAAGGTAAGCGGGGGGTCACACGTACGCAGGACTGGAGACATCCAAACACCTCTGTAACATCTCACCTCCGTATCGGGCTGCCATCTCTCCGAAGCCTTCTGTTGTTTCAGCTTTGCCCACACTGTAAATACAAAGTCACACAGGATCCCATGTGTTTCCCTTGAGGTTCTAGTTTTTAATCTAGTAAAATACACGCGAGCTTTTTTTTTTTTTTTCTTTTAAAACACTTTCCCTTCAGCAGTCCAGGAATGTACCTAATACCCATCACAAATGTATCGTTCCCCTCCGTGGTTTACTGAAAGGCACAAGAACCAAGGCAAACAAGGCTCTAAGGCGATGATTCAGGATGGGACACAAGAGACAAAGGCCCAAAACCACCACTTCAGAGATACAGCTCCAACTGCTGTAATAGCTTGTTTGGGAAATCAAGGCTTTACCTGTTTGGTTTCTTCTAGGCAAGAGTTAATTTACCCCCAGGAACCAAAACCTGTATCTGTTAACCTAAATGGGGCAGATTCAAGAGACAACCTCCACATGAGGTCATCTCCTCAAAGATCAGCACGGATTAGCTGCATTAAACTGTAATCACTGTAAGACCCCAGTACTGTAGATTGCCTCCAGGCTCTACCATTTCTGAAGGTTTTTCTGGCTTCCCCATGAACATGTCAGTGAACGTCAATTAGTAAGAGTTATATGGGGTGACGGAGCCACACCCTGCCTAAAGAAATGGTGGCCCATTGCCCTTGGCTGGGATTTCATACACAAAGCGTCGCAGGCAAAACAGCCGGCAACAAATGAACACTTCACTGGCGATCCCAGCAAGCATCTGCTCCTGCAGATACCCAACAAAGGAAAGAAGCTGCTTTCCTTTAAGAGCTGGGAGGGATGGCCCAAGGAAGGACCATCCCACACGTACCACATTTCCTACCCTCTTTCCCAAAAGTAGCCTCTGGTCACATGGTAAGACAAATTTTTGGTAAGAGCCAATATGAGCGTTTTTATGCCACACGTTCCCTATTCCGCCATCACTACTTACACGAGACTGCATCCTCAATCTGTGTGACATTGGCAAAGTGCGCAGTGTTGGGAATGCCCAGGCACCTCATCCCGTGAGCGTGTCGCCACTCCTGGGGAGAAGAGGCAAGAGGCCAGTGGGTGAGAGGGAATACCAGACTAAAAGACGTATTATCATCTGGACAGAGTGAAACAAATACTATCAAAATACAAATAGACAATAGACCAGTCCTAAAAACCTCTATAAAAATATTTTTTTCTGTATTTTAGACAGTAACAATACGCTGGCAGTCAATACGCGCTCTGCACCCGTCAGACCTGGATACCCAGGCACTCCCGTGACTCCCTTATTACAAAGATTAGCTGAGCACAGCACCGACATTTTTGTATCAAAACATTACTTACCGCAAAGTGACGCTGAAAAGCTTTGGGCCCTCGGTAGGTGTAGTTACCACAAATCTCGCAGTTGTAGTTGATGTTCAAACCATGTAGTTTGTATAACCAGTATGGGATTGGCTGACAAGCGACAAGAAACCAAGGTTAGGCCAAATGGCAAGGCAGGTCCAAACAGAAGAGTGGTGTGGAGTCAGCGACATCTCCCACTTGTCCAGACCTGACAGTCTTGGTTACCTTGCCATCCCAGCCAAGAGGCAGGTTTTTAGGATTATAAATGATCTCATTTTCTTCATCTTCACTCTCACTCTCACTGATCTGCTCTTCCTCCTCCTCCTCCCTCTCTTCCCCGGTCCGTGCTTGCTTACGTTGCACGTTCTCGTGCGTGAGGTGTCTCTGTTCCTAGAGCGGGAGGAAAGAGAAGGACCTGGGTTTAGTACAACGCTTCCTACTTCCCAAGAATGAAGAACTTAAGTATTACCGTTAGCGCTTCCAAGATGACAAGCTAACAGCAACAGCCACCCTGCTAAAAGCAATCGCCCCAAGCTGCTGAAGTAAGGACTAAAGGCAAGCATCAAGGCAAAGGGAGTAAAGGCTGCAATACCCCGTGGCTTAGGCATAAAATAGAAGTTATCTACACTGATGTGGTGCCTAGAAGAGAAGAAAGAAGAAAAGGAAAGAAAAAAAAAGAAAAAAAAAAAAGAAAAAAAAAAAAGGACAAAAGACAGGCTTCCCCAAGGGAACAGGCAGCCTGTTTCTGGGTCTGGTCACAAAAGCCTGCCAAATAATTAACTAATGGAAACATAAGCATAACCCATCAGATTCTAGTTACTGACAGAAGAAGCTACCTGCTAACGTGCACTTTAAAACGTTACCACTCTGGACATAGAAATCACTCATCTGGGCATGCTGTCTATGAAAGCACTGGGTAAAGACATGGATGACCTTCCAGACACTGTTTGACAGCTCTGAAATAAAAAGCTCAAAGACAAAATAAAATCCTTACCCCAAGAACTTCTACATACTCATAAATCTGAGCTTCCAGGAATGCAAGATCTTTATTTCTTTCAGTGTCTCTGGAAATAGATTAAGAAACTTCATGAGGTCCGTTCCAGAACTGCAAACATCATGTGTACACTGAACTCCTGAAGACACATCTGACTTGTGTACAGCAGAAACAAGTACCAAACCATTCGGTTCAGGACTATTCAGGACTATTTGGTCCAACGTGAAAAGCTTCCAATACTCCAAGTCTCTCTCTATCACGACTACACAAGAGCGACGTCTACAGAAAACTTCTCATCCAAGCGGAGAGAACGCCACCAATCTGAGAATGACCTTTAGGAACTCACCTTTTGCTTCCTTTTGTCTTTGGATTCTTAGCAAACAAGGAAGGACTCTGGAGAAGCAGGGAGGAGACAAGTCCAAACCATAGTTTTACATTTCCCAAGAACTATTTCAATTCATGCAACAAAATTCTAAATTTAGCTTTGGAGAGATCATGAGATTTCCTCCTGGTTTTGTCCTTATTCCTTAAACCAAATCCTTCTGTACAACAGGCTTGAGTACAGGACACTTTTCAAACCAGCAGACTGCAGTATCCCTGATCGGTTCTCAACGCTTTGTCCTTCAAACATTATTGAAGTAATTCTTGTACAACAGAGACAACAAAACAAGCATCCCATAAAGGAATGCAAGACAGGAATTCAAAAACTGGAAAGGAATTATGGAAAGACTGCACCTTACCCGCCACATTTTAGCCCCAGGGCCAGTAAAGCTGATTTTAATCTGTCCAGTCCCAGGGAGGCCAATTCCTGTTCAATTAAAGCAAATCACAATAAAAGAGAAGCTATTAAACAAATACAATCTGGATGTTTGTCTATTTTAACTCATTAAAAAATAAAAAAACCAAAACAAAACAAAAAAAAACACACAAAAAAAAGGAACAACTAACAGCATTCAAGAAAGGATGACCAAGGGTGCACCACTCCTCACTAAAAAATGAGGGATGTGACAAATCTAACCAGATTTTTCAAGTTACATCCCTCTAATGGGAGAAATTAAGTCATCAGCATAATCCAAGTTTTATTGGGAGAGCACAGAGCCAGAGGTGAAAGCGCAGCAAGTAAAATAATGAAAGAAACAAAAGGACTCAGCTTCCACCCCCTCAAAGCTTAGCACTAAGTGCAGAGCACTGAAAACATACCTCCCAAGAGGAGAACGCCGAGAGATCCAGGTGGGCTCCAGCGTGAGTGAGCGCACTGCTGGTCTCTTTCTGCCAAGAAAAACCACACGCAAGATCTCTGTAACATCGTTGTAAGGCTTCATGAAATATAATGCTCTAACCTCAGGAAAAGCAGTTCGTTTCACAGAGAATTCTCTCACTCAGCTGAGCAATGGAACAATAGAAAAGGTACAGAATAAGCAAACCTTCAAAAAGGTTCGTTTCAAACCAGTTATGGTGGTTTTCAAATTCAAGTTTGCATTAAATTGCATCTTTGTGATGCACAGCTACACACCTTGCTATTAGACTTAACCACAGTGATTACACAGGCAATCCACAGAAAGCCTATCACAGATACAGAAGCATTCACGTGGAATTAACAACCGCTCACCGGCCAGCCAGGGAACGTTCCATTTTCCCACTTCTTCTCAAACTCAGTCTGAATTTTCCCGAAAAGTTCATTCTGGTCCAGTAACGGTTTCACTCGGTCTGTGTAATCCTGTAGGTACTCAAGAAGCATTTCAAGGTACCTGGCAGAGTAATCACAAACACGGGTAATTCAATACCAACCTCTAACGTATTTCTCTAACCAGATCGTTGGAAAGTCATCACCCTCCCGCACTCCAAAGGGAAGTCATCCAGATTATGACAGTTTTCAACACACAATTTCTAGATGCAGCCATTATAAGGATAAGGTAAGGTCCTTCCATAGCGGAGAATGTGGATTTCCACATTTCTGCTGTGCTGCGTGTTTTCTCAGGACTGAGCTGCTATAGCTCAGTGACCCCGTTCACGTGAGTTAAGTTTGACGGTTAATTATATTCTTAGCAGCCGTGCACTTAAGAAGCAAATTCCTTCTCATCAACCGTCATAAAAGCAGCAGGCAGGCAAAAAACCTCACCTCTTATATTCAGCATTTTTTCTCTCCTTGGGAATATCGAAGAGTTGGTCAAACGTGGACAAGTAAGTGATATAATCCAATTTCTAAGAACAAAGAAGTCTGAGTCAGACTTTGAACACATGCAGCCAAATTAACTTTCAGCTTCTAGTTACCAGACCAGAAGAAAAGCATTTTCCCATGCCATTACTCTGGACTGCAGAGGCCCGGGGTTCTCTGTACGCTAACACCTATCAGTACGTGGCAGTAGAAAAGAGAGGCTTTTTACAAGGCCGTCATTACATTAACGATACGGAGATACCAACTCAAGAGAACGGAAGAGGAGTCATGAAGCTGCGCTCAGAATTCAGATGCTGCCAAGCTGTACGTGCAGCAAAGTGACTTTGAAATCGCTATTTGGAAATAACAACTTATTTATGTAAGAAAAAAGCCCAAACCCAACAAATAACCACGAACCAACCAAAGGAAAACCCCTCGGCCTTAAGCACCGAAGCTGCCCAGACACACGCAGCCGCTTACCTCTGATGATTTTAGATTAATGTACTTGAGATAACAATCATGCAGATCTAAGTATCGTCCATACCCTTCCTCATCTGTGAACTCCACCAGATCTGTAGGAAAGATCACAAAGTTTAATCTTCCCTGCCTATTATGCTTTAGAACTTGAAAAGGATTAACCGTGGACTAATTTATGCTTAAGGAAGAAGTCTACAGTGCAAGTGGGATACGCATTGACCGGACACCCGACTGCTTCGCTGCGTGAGCACACTAGAACATTCCTCAAGAGGAGCACCACGACTGTGGAATGTGCTACATGGTGCTACAGTTCAGAAGAATTTAAATGACAAAAGAACAATTCTCAGAAGTCGTTTAGTAAAAGGGAGGTGGGAACTCTGAAACATGCACAACAGATCAAACAACTCATTAAATAACGCCTCTCAAGCAAGCACCGTACTTCCATTTGAACTGGCCTTGGAGAAAAACTACAGCAAACTTACTCTGAGCTTCTTCACTCGGGTTGTCTCTGGCCTTCAACAGCTCCTCAAACTCCACTGACATTGGAACACAGATCTTCAAGAACACAGAGAAGTTACAGAAGAAATTATTACTTCTACGAATATCCCAGAGTAACTAATACAAGATCATGATAGGTTGCAAACAATAAAACTGCTAACTGAAACAGTATGCAAAGCATTTCTTCACCGTTACTTTTGCACAAAAAGAAGCCTGACTTTAGCCAGCAGGAGAAAGGCAAGACCCAACGCCAGCTCAGCAGCAGAGCGTTCCTCAGGTAACACACAGCAAGCAGAGAACACGGTTGGCATCCTGCATCTTCTCCTACTCATGCCGCTCTCGCAGGAGCGCACGCACTGCCTCCGAAGCGCCACCTAACCTTGAACTTCTTTTCTCAAGTGACATTTTAGGGTACTTAGTACTTGTATGTTAAGGCAATTAAACTGGGGGGGAAAAAAGTCTGTTTGTTGTAGGGTTGAGGTCCAACAAACCACCAATCAGCCATTCTTATGAAGCAGATGACTGCTTACCTCATTTGGGTGCTTCCGGTGAAACTCCTTAATTTGTTTCAGTCTGTTGTAGAATTCTGCAAATTCATTTGGCCCTGAAATGGCACTGAGCTCTTCTTTCCGTAAGCTATGAGTTCGGGGAAAAAGGACGGGTTACAAGTGGGAAGAAAACCACGTTGACACTGATACAATCTTTTTCCAGGCCTGGTGCTGCATTTTGATCACATGAAGCTCCAGGAAGGCCGACTGCAAACCTCTGAAAGTCACATCAGGTCTCACAGTCCGCCAGGCTTACGGTTTGAGGTGCCGGGCCACGTCTGCCACTGAGCACGCTGCGGTCTCTACTTACAAACCTTCAAACCAACTCACAGCCTCCCCCATGACTTAAACCAAGAAAATAACAAAATGCCTGTCTCAGCAGGTGCATACCCAACGTGCAACCTGGGTCCTGCTAGAGCAGGATCAGTCTCCAGAACTTGATTCCTGGTCTCGCATGCCAGCATTACTCCTCACGCATTTACAGTTTCCTTAAAGGAGCCCCCAAGTTCCCCATCTGCAAGCACATTCAGCAGACGCTCAGGTGCACACGCACCAGACGGGGCGTTTGTACGAGCCCTTACCCGTCCTTGTCGTCGTACAAGTCTCTCAGGTTGCCGCTCACTTCCATGTACCTCTGAAAAACAACAGAAGCCCCAGATGCACCGAGAGAGCCCCGCTCGCCCCCGGCCGCCCTGGCAGCACCAGGCGGAGGCCTGCCCGCCCCGCGCTGCTCCCGGTG